TTTAATGAGAATCCTTGTTACATATTGCCGCTGTGAACCTTCTAGCAAAACATAAACACTGTCATTCTTTATATTTTAGTAACGAGTACACACTCTTATCTGCAACTCCTCCAATACAACTGAATAAAATTTAGTAATACTTTTACAGAATCTTTATTACATAGTTCCATTGTGCACGTCCTATTTTACTTTTTGATGGACGCTTATTTCTGGTCTCCCATAGCAAAACATGGACTTTGTCATCATTACATGCGAGGATGGGATATCATTTTGTGAGCTCAGTGCTCACAGTACCTCTAGTTTTTATTATTGGAATCTTCTGTGAGCTTCTGTAGAGCTTTATTAAGTGTTATTATACTATGCAAGATTGTCCTTGTATACGTTTTTTTTTACCCCTAACTGGTAAGAGTCTTGGTTCTCTTCACTGCATGTAACTTTCGATTTGAAGTGTACACAAAAGTCCAGTTCTCAAAAAAATGGAAAGGAATACTGCTTTAAACATCCATGTGCTTCATTATAACAATTTTAAATGAAATTAATCAAACGAAGTGAAATCACTGCCGCAAATCAAGCATATATTTGCTTGCAAACAATGGAGTATAAAATAAGCCCGTACAAGCACAGGTAACCGCGTTTTCGCACTTGCACAATATCTTTCAGGTCAAAACAGGAAAGAGCAGTCAACATTGTAGTCTTCTTTTATTGAAGGGGGCTGTTTAGTTATGAATGACTAAAGACACCTCATGTTGTATCAATATTTTTTTCCTACAGAATACTGCAATTATGAAGCCCTAAGTAATAATGTTACGTTGAAGCTGATTCATCCACTTTAATCATCCTTCCAGAGTTCTGAAAATGAAATTGTTTGAAGCTATGCATTTTTCAAAATTTTATTTATTTTGAATTGAGATGAAGCTTCACGATTTGTGAATGATTACCAGAACAGTTTAAGAGTCATTCTCTGTAAGAATCAAAGAATTTAGAAAAAAAATTGGAAATGGTACATCACAGAATTGGTTGATATTTTGCTTGTAATGTAGAAACACCATGTATAGAGCATATTTTGGGTCAATTATTAAATTTGATACCGGTTGCCATGGTAACCAAAACCACCATTTTAAGGTATTAGAGGTGTAATACGCCATTTCCGGTAAAAATGACGGCATTTACCGAGGTGTCTGACATCGGCAGTTTTCGGAACACTGTACTTCATAAACAAAAATGGCGTGTCGTCAAGACGGCCTAGGAAGCTAACATAAAAACATACACCAACGAAAAGGAATATAACTTAGCGGAAGAGAGAATCAATATGATATTACGTAGAAAACACGTTAATATATTTTGTTTGACAAAATATGCAGTCAAAACGATGATACCTTCAAATACACAATTCATGGGTTTTTCCATCTTCTAAAAATAGCACCATTTTCGAAGAACGAACGAAGTATACCTTTCTTCAAAACTTTACATTCGCATCGCGATTTCTTGTGATTCTCTCAATATCAGCAAACCGTTTGAGGGGTAAAAATGTACGTAATAGATAGCATTGCGTGCATTGTAGAATCTGCAATTTATAAGTGACGTTCAATGTCCATACGTAAAATATGTGAGATGTTCAAAATATATCGGTAAAAAATAGAATGTAAATATGTTTACAACTTTAAAGAAAAAAATTAATATAAGATATGGGAATAAATGATTTATTCTGGGTTGGGTTAGGGTGATTTTTGTTATTTATTTACATTAATGTATTTATTTATTTTTACATAAGTTTACTGTTTAAAAGGGGGGGGGGGTGAATATTTTTTATTGATATTTTTTATATACATGTGGTGGACAAATTAGTGTTTTTTTTTAACCTTTTGATTAGTGTTTCTGTCAGTATATATTTTAGTCTACATTGTATAGTAATGTTTTGATCTGTAAAGAACTTCATGCACATGATATATTATATCAACTTCATCTTAAATTTCTATTTTCTACATATTTTTTTTACAGGATTAATTGTTGCCTACTCTGATGGACTATTTGTTGGAGTAACTACCACAGATGATGAAATGATTCAGTAGTAGGTCATGAAAGAGTGGACCTCCAGTGAAAAATGTCAATTTTTTAAAATTCGGAAAAATGCAGATTCTGTGCTTTTTATAAACATAGTACATGTTGCAAGAAAACGCGGGCAATCCATAACAAATAATAACAATCATTCAAAAGTACATTCTATACTCAACAAAATATAAAATTTCTAGAGAGGTATTATTTCTTAAGATAAAATAAAAACAAAAATAGTTGCTATGGAGAATTTGGATTAATGTGTAGAATCAACATTTGGCTCCTTTTTTTGAGTGATCTTCTTTCTGCCAGGCCGCCGAAATATGGCTGAAATATTGCCGACTAGGCGTAAAACAACAATAATCAATCAATCTCTCTGCCAGGTATCTTTCTTCATCACATCCTTATTATCCCACTCAACGTGTAGCTTTGAAGTCCATATAACTGATGTAAGCTTGCTTTTAGACACTTTTATTGCAATGATGCTGTATGTGTCGCAGGAATTTCAATAGGACTGCAATTAATTTTCATGCTTATACACATTACATGTATATTTCTCAGACACAGTAAGGCCTGAACAAACCTTTAACTACGGGTACATTGTAATACAAAACACTACACAAAATAAGTTAAAAATAATTAAAAATATCCAAAAAAGATAGAAATTACTCCTCTGAGTCACGTTCTGCTCTCTACTTTCACTTTCATTTTCTTTGCTATTTTGGAAGATTTCCGAAAAGGGATATAACTCTTGACAAAAAAGTGTATAAATTTAGAGATTTTTAAAAACTTTACAATCAATTTATTTTCTTAAATTAAATAAATAATCTCTCCATTTTTTAAAATATGTTCTTCATAATTGTTAAGGGTAAATTTTAGAGCATCAAAATATTCCACCAGTGCCTGCGTTTTTGTGCATACTGTTATGTTCTACCCCCTTTTTAAAACATTATTTAAATATTATTTGGCATTTATTGGAAAGTCCAAGATTTTTTTTTGCAACTTTCTTGTATAAAAAATACAAATTATTTTTAGGAAAAAAAAAATCATAATGATCACTTATATTAATTAAATATACATGGGGTGAAATTACATTTATTGGTAATTTCCACCAATGTACGAAAATACGTGACCTGTTGCCATAGAAACAAGACTAGTTGATCATTTCCAATAATATTTTTGTGAAATGGGCTTATAATGTAATTATTTCACCAAGTTTCAACAAAATCAGTGACAGTCAATTTCCAGCCCATTTTGATGCTTACAGAGAATGACTCTTAAAACATATTATGGAGGGCATGTTTGTGTAATAACATGCATGTAGCAATTCAACCATCAATGATAACCACAAAATTAAACTTTTGGTGAATTACTTCAAGGCTCTCCGTGATCTCGACTCCTTATGAATTTTATATACTCGTCTGAATTTAGTGTATCTTTAACAGTATCTGGAACATCCTTAATACCATGGCCTTCAGCACATGAAGCTGACATAACATTCATTATGTTTAATATTTCTAAAGCCTTGAAAATTTTGAAGTAAATAGCAAATGTGTTTTTTGCTATCAAGTCTTGAATTCAAATGCTATAAAATTAATAATATTAAAAACCTATAGTCTCCTCCGGTTTCACCGGTAGGGGACTAATAAAGCAACAGGAAAGTTGCAGCCAATACTTTTTACTATATAGTTGGGAGAGTAATGTATAAATTACAGAAGGGAGGGTAGGGGTTGCAAATAGGGCATCGATACTATTGTACATCAGCATATTTCAAAGGTTAAAAAGAAAATGTAACCCATTGTACGCGTATAATAGCACCCATCAGGTGTAAAGCAAAACTTCGAAACTGGAAAAAAAATCAAACATCAACTATTTTCAATCACATTTGAATCAAATGCCCCAGAAATCTAAAGACTATTCTCCCCTATATATTACATATGAAGCCGTTAAACTACAAAATGCCAAGGTTATTTAATTATACAGTAAAAAAAAAATCCCTAACATTGACCCTTGAACAATGATCCATAAAGTATTCTATACCGAAGAAGGAGAACTATTCGACGGGATAAAATTTCGTCATTATCTTCCACGCCAAATCATATGTCGTATTTTCCATGCCCTTTAAGGTCTTCCACGCCAGGGAAAAGAAAGAGAGGGGAATGTGACTCATACACACACACCCGAGCATAGGGTTAACTTTGCTTAAATAGGCTGAAATTCCCTGATTTGACACAACTGTCTCAACTATCACAGAAATCTTAATTCCAGTCAATGTTCTTGTCAATGAGATGTTGAAGCCTACTTTGTTGGCGACTTCTTCTTGACTTTAGGCTTAAGTTGATTTCTTGCATAGCTAATAAGTTCCGTTACCGCATCATTTGAATGAGTTTCATTTGGTTGCGCCATTCCATTTTTCCTGCATCACTGATTGTTACGTAATCTGAAACATGAAAATGGAATTTCTAAATCAACCTGATATTAATTTCTCAATTTGTATCACGGCCTATTTTAATGAAGTTAAAAAATCAAGTATGTTAAAAAGTTGGATGTTTTTACTAGCTGATAAAAGTTAAATATATAGTTGTTCTCGCTCTTCCTTGTCCAGAGGCTTACGGAAGTCACCTTCTTTTGTTTTGCTCAGGCCTTGTTATCTGGAGTAAGCAAGAACTTCAAGAAAAATATCTCTGGAAGCAACTGGTAGCAAAGTGTGAATCCGGGATTTTTGGCAGTTCTTGCCGCTGAAGTGGCAATTCTCAGTGAATCCGAATTTATTTCCAGGTCACATCCATCTAGCAGCTTGCACAGTGAATTTAAACAAGTATACTGAGAACAATATATTAAAAAACATGTACCTCAAATTAAAAAAAAAGAGAAAGAGAAAGTTTGGTTTCTTTCTTATTCTAAGAACTTAAATATGTCAAGCAATATCATATATTTATATAAACCTTCTATATTCCTTCATTCTTTTTCCGCTTATGTGCTGATCTCCGCAATGGCGGTGGTGTATTGATTGGTGTTGATTCCGGTGGTGGCAGTACACTGGTTATCTGTGGAGATGGAGAAGCAGGTGTGATTGCATTTCCAGAGACTGTTTTGGTAAAAGTGTTATCATGTTGATTCACTTGGTTGGTGTGTAGTTGTATATGGCAAGTCAAGGAACTGGTTAGTGCGCTGGTAGCGTGCATTCATCGGTTTATCACAAGTTTCCCGATATGGGGCTGTGAAGTCTACAATTGATTGCCCTTTTGTCCGATTGTCTGTCACCCAATCTGCTTGCACTACTGTCTGGATGTTTGAGTTTCAGGTTATTAGTCTTTTGCTCATTGTTTTCGGTCTTTTTCTTCTTCTTCTTCTTGGGACTTCTGGCATCTTCAATAACATTCTTACTCTGCACATTTACTTTCTTCTTTTTTTTTCTTTTTTGGACTCATAGTGTCATCTTGCTCCTCTGATTCACGCAATCTTTGTGTCTTGCTTCTGCTTTGCTTCACATTCTGCTCCTCGGTTTCATTTACTTCAAAGGAAAAGACTTCCTCTGGAACTTCGGTGTTGTTCTCTGCTCTTTTTAAAATTTTGGAGTAGGCCTGGGTTGCAAATTTATTCAAAGTGTCTTTATCTGTAAATAAATCAAAATAATTAATGCATAGCAAATTACAAAAGTAATAAAAATCCTGCTTTCACGTACAATTTTTGGTAGTATATGTATCATGTTTATGAAACATTGTTTCTGGAGTTATTAGTATATAGGTCCTAATAAAGTTTAAACAAAGGCTGGGTGCTAACAGGATTGCTCTCATAAATTACTAAATAATACAAAGACTGTCGCCGGTGTTGTGACCGATTGCCAGGGGATCGTACTGTTAGACTCCCAGACGCCTATTTTATCCCATGTGCAAGTTATATATTGTTTGCATAATTTATGAGATATGAGATCTGTCGAAGTGTGCTTTGCTTTTCTTCTAGTTTTTTCCACTTCTCAAATCAAACATTCCTTTTAACGGTTAAACGTGTACTTAGTTCGAGATAATTCCAACTGATTTGACAAGCAATTTGCCATTCGGAACTCCTCGGGTGGTTCGGGCCTCGCACGCTCAGCCGAGGATTGCCGATTGGTTCTTTACACATAAGAGTTCTACTTCCGGAAGATTTACAAGAATTGGCAGATTCAGGAATTTTTAAACCGTGAAGGCGATGATGGTGTTTATCGGAAGAGTAAATAAAAGTACGCGAGCTGACAAATAACCAATGCATAAATATTAATGAATACATGTATTTAAACCGTGTTGGTAAACTACATATTTTTATTTTTTTGACATATGCAGCAGTTCGAATCTCGGCTGCGACTGACCTAAGTCGATAAAAAATGGGTAGAACCTGTTCCTTCGCCATGCGCTCGGCACTTTGAAGTGAAAGTTGCGGTTCCTTCAGATGAGACCTTAAAAACCGAGGCCCCGTGTCACACGTACGGCAGGAGTTGGCACGATAAAGATCCCTCGCTGCTCAATGGCCCTGAGTGCCTAGTGTACTGTCTCGTGATTAGCAGGCAGTCAGATAACCACGCATCTACACAGAATACTCCAAGTCCATATAAACTGATGAATTTATTGACTAAGACGAATATGTAAGATGGCATGTGGTAAAGGACTACAAAGAAAACAAAAGGACTAATAAGAAAATGTTCACATATAACATACTATTAGCGTACGACTTAACCAACTTTGATGATGACTGTTATGGCGTTCCATAGAAAAAATGTTTCAAACAGCAATGTATTTGTCTTAAATTCTACTATTTGCATAAAATGAAATTCTTACAAGTTACTTTACATCATTTTTATCCAAGTGAAAGAAAGCAATATAAATATTCAGTAACTGAAGCTATGCATTACACATTAAATAAAGTACACATAAAAGAATAAATTTACAAGTGTATTCAATCACTTACACAGTGATTTCCCTAATCTTCCAAAAAATTAACAGCTAAACAATAGGTCAGCCTCATGGCTTCTAGAACAACTTGTATTAACAACTCGTACCTTTAATAATTCGTACGAAGGACGGAACACCTAGTAAAGTTCATAATTTGAAGCCCTTCACCCGGTATATGGTGACGTCTCTATATGAGTGAAAAATTCCCGAATGGGACGTAAAACAACATACAATCAATCAATAATATGCAGCACTTGAATAGGTTTTGGCAATCTCTCACCAGAAATCGTACTTTCACGAAGCCATTGACGGAAATGGTTCAAGAGTTCCGAGGTTGATCACGTGACCCCCTGGAAGCGTGTAAGTTGAGAGTGGTGTAATATTTGAAAACTCAAAGCTTTATACATTTGAAATAACGATTACAACAAAGTAGTGAAATATCGATTTCTTTGAAAAACTTCAAGTGAGATTTCAAGCACAAAACAGGAATTGGAAATATAGAAATGTGTATGATGGACGATTGTACAAATCCTATTGTGAAAATGATGGGCCGCTGTCGAAACCAGAAAACAAATCTTTTACATTTAACACAGATGGTGCCCTTGTATTCAAGAGCAGTAAAGTTTCAGTTTGGCCATTATTCATGGTAATAAACGAGTTACCTTACAAACTATGCATGTTGAAAGAGAACATGATAATTGCAGGACTTTGGTTTGGCCCACACAAACAAGCCATTGGAACTTACCTATCTCCATCCTTGGATTCTTTTAAAACATTGCACGACGGAATAAATTGCTTTTCTCCCTCTCTAGAAAACTTTTTAAGTAAAGGATACCTACATTGTGACACAGGAGACCTTCCAGCTCGTTGTCTTGTATGCAATGGTGTTCAGTTTAATGGAGCATATTCTTGTTGGAAATGCATGCAAAAAGGCGAAACAGCATAACGTTGAAAAGGATATACACATGTTTTTCCATATTTGTCTGCTCATCCAAAAGGTCCAGAAAGAACAGTAAATGCTGTTTGTCGTGATGCACAAGAAGCCTTAGATAATCTGGAGAAAGGAACTTCCCGACCTAGTGTCAATGATGTAAAAGGGCCATCATGGCTGACTTTTTCCCCCAAGTTTGACATTGTAAATGAAATTGCTGTTGACTATACGTCTCTGGTTTGCAGCAGAGTTTAGTAGTAAAAATTTCAGTTTTCATAAACATGTCAAAGATGTTGACAATAGATTAAGAAATTTAAAGCCATCATAAGACATATGTAGGTTACCTCGATCTATTGAAAATGACGAAGTACGGGCTCCAGAATATCATTCATTTTTGTTGTACTTTGGTGCACCTTTTTGTATGGTATTTTAGATTCAGTGAGGTTTCAGCACTTCTTGCAAGATATCTTGTCAATGCCATGCTTATTCTTTTAAAAGAAGGTAGCTCACTTGATAAAAAATTTCAGATGCAGAATCAATGCTATTCAATTTTTGTGCTGACTTTGAAGTTTTGTATGACAAATGTTTCATGACAATATTCATCAGCTCTTACACTTAGCAGATAATGTTCGTTTTTAAGGCCATTGTTTACCCATAGTTGCTAGATAAAAATGACTCCCTGTTGAAAATGATCCAAGGCACACAGCACATTGATAGTCAAATTGTTACTGGGGTCTCTTTTTTGCAGAAATTGCCTGAATTGAAACAAAAGTATGTGAAAAACACAGTTGAAGGGTCAAAGGTAGAAAAACTATTCAACTCTGTTGAATCACCAAATGTATTGATTAGAGGTGAAATGATAGAAAAGGGGGAGTGTATTTTAGGTGGGGTAAAATCTCGAGATTTGCCTAGAGATGAATACAGAAAGCTCTGTGATTATCTGGGCCATGCACTAATTATTGACAAATTTAGTACATTCAAAAGAATTGATTTTTTCAATCATATCATATATGGTTTGGAGTATGCAAGAATGAAGAAGCGTGACAATTCCACAGTAATGTATTTTTGTGGGGATGCAATGTGCTTTGGTCTAGTAAGATTTTTTTCTACTTATTAATGACAACAGCTCAGTCATAGCTTTGATGGAAACACTGAAATGCTTGAATTTTTCTGAGCATTGTAATATATTGACAGTACAGAAAACTGGTCAAATTATATTGCAATGAAAAATGTTAAAGAAGGATGTGTGTTTTTGGAAGTCCAGAGTAATAATGAAAATATTTGTTATGTGTGTCATTACCCTAATAGAATAGAATCTGATTGATTTTTGGGGGGATTAATCATTATCTGCTTTGAAATGTCAATAAAGTGGACCTAAGGAAATTTGGAGGTGTACACTTTCTATTTAAAAAAAATTATAATGCCAAATACAGACATGTTTACTCTTACGATTTCGCCCTATTTTGTACGGACTTTGAGTCAAAAGTACTTCTCCCGTTTTTGCTAGTAGGAAAATACAGAAATCCGTTCGTTTTGATTTTAGCAGTTAGTTTTCGTTATTATCTGTCCCAGTTTAACGCTTTAAAAGAGAAAGATTTCAAACACTCAAGTGATGTCGGGTTGCAAAAACGCGATGGTTTAAAAAAAAAAAAAGACAGAAACCCCAATGTAAGTAATGCAATCTTTGTATACTTTATTCATATGATTTGTTAAACCATTTTTTCTTTGTAATTAAACCATGTTTTGGTAATCAGAAATGTATTTGTCCTCTTGTAATTAAAATCGATGGAATGTGAAATCTTACTAGCAAATGCCTAATCTCACTGACAAATTTAATAAAAAAAAAAATTACTGAAAGACAATAGTATGGGTAAACAGGTCTGCAAATAAATATATTCTAATATATGAATTTCTAATAGAAAAATTTGTAAGTCAGAAATCCTTGCAAGGAATTGAGAGTTCAAGTTTTCCAGCTGCCTAACTGTACTGAATTTTTTCTGAAAATTCCCACTCAAAAGATGCTGAGTCCAGGCGGAGAATAAGAGGCGTAATTTTGAGTCTAATTTTCCCCCTTAAATCCACTCAGAATTTGTCATTAGCTATGCGTAATTTTAGGGTGTGTACCAAGAGCTGCACCTTTATTAATGAATGGCTTATCCAAATCAGTAGTCACAGTCTGAGAAAAGTTCACAGTATTGACACAAATACCCTTATGTACACAAATACAATCAGGTAAACAAAAACTAGTTCATTATATCAAATATCTAAATAAAAATTAACTCATTTTTACAGAGATAATGAACGAAACATAAAAGCATTATTACATTTTTTTTAATTCAAAGTTTAAGCTACAAACTAACATCATCACTGCAGAATCTGATTCAGTTTAAGAAGCTGAAATGACTTAATCTACTTATAGGCATAAACACTATTTTTTGTACTTAGTATGTAATAACTTTACTTTGTAACTCGTCGAAATTTTATTTCCTTAACTATATGTCGGTTTCAGATTTCTATTTATTTACAGTGGAACCTTTTGAACGTACAGCGATTAAAAAAGATAAATATGGAACTTTCTTTTACTATTGTGAACTTTTGCTAAGTATTGTTTTTGAATATGAAATTAGCAATAGTTATTTTTTAATGATTCCTAATTTACAAAAAATAATTTTCCTCAAACATAAAAATATAAAAGAACTGACGAAGCAAACAAATTATACGTTTTCATAGACGAGTATAATTTCATTTCCGTAGTCCTGTTGTGTAGAATTCATATAATTATAGTCATGAGTTTCGCCTGTATCGTCTCTTTGTTCACATACGCAGGGCATTGTGTCCTTATTTGAGTCTGATTTCCTGCAGCATTTTTCTTTATTTTTCCGCATGATATTTCGCAATCTTTTGATGTAGAATATTCGAATTCCTATGCTAAGAATAGTGACGACAAAAAGCGATGAACCAACAAGGGTAATGACTGACGGGGTCCTCAAAAACCAATCATCTGTATGTTAAAATATTGGAAAGTTGTGTTTGAATACATGTTGTTTTTCTTTGAAAAACATGCCTCGATCTATAGATAAACAGTGACAAAAACTTAAAATCGAAAATACTCTTATATTGATATCAAATTAGGAAGGTTCAAAGAAATGTCTTCGGTCCTTGAATCCCAAAGAATAAACAATGTAATTCATCAAAATTTTCAGTGTTTGTGGTACATTTGACAAAGCTGATAGTTAGTTGATATTCAAGAAAGAATAAGTTAGAAAACATCAATCGCTCGATTATATTTTCTCCTATGCATTGAAAGTTGTAGAATGAGTTAATTTTCTTACCTGCATCTACCTTTGCAGTGGACGGTGGCACTGAAATCAACAAGAAAATTATATCAACGTAGATTAAAAAGGAGAATGGTTTTTATTTTTTTGGAATAAATAAAATTTTATTACATTTCCACTACTCTCTTCAAAATGATATTGCATCAATTGCTTATCTAGTTTTATGCTTCCATTCGTGTTTAAGCACTATGTAACTTTATTTAGAAACACTTAGTATTACGTTCTAAGCAAAATGACCCGCTCCATCCAGAATCACATCCATTTCCACACGTCCCATCAGTCTTTGAGCAGGGTGTGCTATTCTTACAGTGGCCACAGTTAAATACGCAGTTTGGTCCATATTTATAATCTTGACATTCTGAAAATCGCTTAAAAATCATTATTTGATATTATTCGAAGATTTTAAATATTAGCTTATTTTTTTCCAGCTAGTACCTGCAGCTTGCATTTTGTACAAATATCAAGGAATTAAATAACCTAATCCTAAGTCCATTCCCTCCCTCCCCCCCCCCCCAAAAAAAAGAAAATTAAAAAAAGATTAGTTTCTATAGTTTACTATAGTTTCAAAAGCACTTTGATATATAGTGTAAAGTCAACAATTCCCATATTTGAAATGTAGTTGTTATAATGATCTTATTTACGAATATAACCCATTGTTGGGTAGTATTTTGACTGTTATTAGTCGTTATAATGATCTTATTTACAAATATATCCTATTGTTGGGTCGTATTTTGACTGATACGTTTCATATGAAATTAGAAAATTGATAGGACATTACTTAATACTACGTTTGACTTTATAGAAAAGGACTCACTATACGGATTGTGTGACTTATCAGAACATCATGTAAAGGAGCACGAGGCGGGTGTGACCGGTCGGCAGGGGATACTTACTCCTTCTTGGCACCTGAACCCACCGTTGATGTTTTTTGAGGTCCGTGTTCGCTTTGTTCCAAATCTGTATTATTTGATTGAACTTTTGAGGTTGATTACTGTCCATTATCTTTACATTTAATGCATTACTTATATCGCTTACAGTTACATTATTTTTTCGATAAACAGAATATTTAAATGCAGCATTAACAAATGCAATATGCGTCTTTGTAGCATAATTTCTGACGACCAAAATCTTTAAACAATGGCAGATAATAAATGTCACATATACTAACATTTTCATGGATCACACAGTATAAGGACCTCACAGTATAAGGACACAAAATTCTCAAACCTTGAATTTATCAGACAAATATTTATGTTTTGGATGGTAAGCAAGCAGACTTTTTTTTTACATTACTATAGGAGTCAAAGGGTCTGATTAGAAAGGTAAGGGTCAGAAAAAGGCGTGGTACATGTACCACTACTTGAAGTATGTCTTTCAAATACATTCCATTTAATTATGAATGTACTTTTCAATTGGTAATTCAGAATTATTTAAATACTTTGCGCTACACTGCACGAAACGTTCATTTCCCTGAAGTCCAGGTGTTTAATACCGTTCACAGTAGCTCAGTCGGTAGAGCGCTCGCTCCGTGATCGGGAGGTCGTGAGTTCGAATCTCGGCCGCGACAGACCTAAGTCGATAAAAAATGGGTAGCAATTGTTCCTTCGCCATGCGCTCGGCACTTTGAAGTGAAAGTTGCGGGTCCTTCGAATGAGACCTTAAAAACCGAGGCCCCGTGTCACGGCAGGCGTTGGCACGATAAAGATCCATTACTGCTCAATGGCCCTGAGTGCCGAGTAAAGGTCAAAATTTGAAGCCCTTCACCGGTATATGGTGACGTCTCTATATGAGTGAAAAATTCTCGAAAGGGACGTAAAACAACATACAATCAATCAATCAATCCAGGTATTTAATCAATGACAGAAAAAGACATACATTCGTTATATAAAGTAAGGATCACCCATAGGAATATTTTTCTGCACTCTTTCGTTGAAATCTTGACTTAGAAATACCACAAAAATCAGAGTACATATATAAGCAGTAAAATTAATTGAAGTTATTATTTTTGATTCGTTCAAATGCGATTTAAAAAAGTTTTTAATTATTTACCATTACATTTGACACCTTGCCAGTTTTCTAAGCATCCTTTAGGACATTCACCAGTAAACTGGTCACAGTAGGTTCCAGTGAAACATCTTCCACACATTTCCTCACAGATGATTCCATAATGTCCAATTACGCATGCTGTGGTATCAAAACAAAGGATGCATTATAACCGTGTTTAAAAAAGAATTTTTTTTCTTTGATTTTCAAAGTAGTAAATAAATTAAGTAGAAAAAATTCATGTATTATCGTCATTAAATCAAATAAAAGAGAAAGAGGGATAATCAAACTAGGCTTTAGAAAACTTGTAATTAAAAACAATCTTATATACATAAATGTATACTTAAACATTGTTTGAATGAATGGCAATAAGAGATAGTTCTATATCGTCCATTCAATTAATCTCATGAACATGCAGTACCAACCAGACCCAACCTGACACAAAGCAGTCCCAGAGCTGTCCTGGGGACTGCTTTCTGGGACTGCTAAAGCAGTCCCACAGTAATCCCAGAGCAGTCCACAGCAGTCTCAGTGGCGGGGTTAATGAGAAATGAAATCAGAAATGAGATTACCGATAAACAATGTAACTATAAAAGGCAGTTGAAATTGATGTTGCATTTCTTTCTGAGTAGTATCAACAAATTTTTACTATTCTTAGGCGACAGTCATTTCTGAACTATTAAGAAAATCACAGTACGCGTATAGAAAGAAAAAATAATTATTGAACGAAGACATTCACACCTACTAAAAACATGAATATTTAAACACAATTATGTGGTATTTTAATTTTTCACCAAAATAAATCAATTTTTTTTCTGTGATTGATATTGGTTTCCATATTTATTTATTTTTTTAATAGAAAATTAACCTTGAATTGTTTATTTTCTACCAGAGTTGGCTTTAAATAGCTCTTATAATTATAGAGCAAGGTCGATTCCCATACTTTACTCTGAACGCATATTTCTTAAGTTTTGGAGCTTTCCAAAATTCTTTGTTAAATTTTGCCGAATATTATTTTTTCAGTCATGGTTATTTTCACTGACCTGCTAATATAATTGTCGTTATAGATTCTCTAAGTAACAGAAAACAATAACACTCAGTTTTAAGTGTTTTATTATATAAACGTTCGAGTGTACATCTGTAAACCACGAGAAAGGAACCCTCAGATTATGTACAAAATTAATTAATCCCGAAAACTTTTTATACATATTTATTGAAACAAAGATTTTTTTGCAGTACATAAATAAATTAGTGTCATTATTGACTAGCATGTTCAGTGTTGTGTAACACTGATACCCAAATAACATGCATTGACTTTCTGTTAATCATGCCCAAAGGCGATTGAAATCTTAGGTGTTGACACCATTTAATACAATTGTATTGCTTTTTATTAATCGGCCAGATAAACACAGACAAAACAAATAAGAAATAAGTCACAATTCCCGATATTTTCAAATGTTTATTTTTCAAATAAATGTACTCTTTTTATAACTTGTTTATAAATTAAAATCTAATCCATAAATAAATTTCCCAATAATTATTCACACTGTTTATGTGAGTAAGAATGGTAGAATAATTTTATTTCATGATCATTTAATAAATTATTAGGTTTTGTTTGAGAGCTGTAAAAAATAGCATGGAATACTCTTTTTTCTATCATGGTATTAGCTTTTTCAATTAAGAAAAAAAAATCCATTACAGTGCATCCCTCTGAATATCTTACTGAAATGACAAGTTTGATTTTTATTTGTTTTTTGTAAATAGTGCTAATGCAAACTTTGAGTACATAATTTGACAGCATTAATTAATTAAATAGGCCTAGATAAATCTTTTTTTTTTCAAACACTTGTATTAAAGTTTAACCTAAGGGATAAAAATCATCTCCTGACATTTTAGATTAAAATTGTTTAAATTAACAGCCCCTGAAGACATTTAGAAATTATATGTAAAACTATCTCTACTTATTAAAATTTTGTAAGAAATCCTTGTTTGTTTTTTTTAAATTTTTAACTTGAACACCTCTCTGCTGAAAGTAAACAAAACAACAAAAGGGACACTGCAAATTCAGAATACACAAGGGGCGGAGCTATCATGTCACACGGAACCTTTTTCACGCATGAGTGAACAAAGCAGTCCCAGGGAGTGCTGGGACTGCTGGGTCTGCTTTCTAGAGCAGTCCCACAGCAGTCTCATAGCGGTCCCAAAGCAGTTCCAGGGTCTGCTATCTGGAACTGCTTATTTGTCAGGTTGGGTCTGGTTGGTACTGTACTATCCTGTTTATACATGATCATTATTAGCTCTTCTGAGCCAAAGGCTCAAAGAGCTAATATGGACATTTGTGCAGTTTACATAAACTTTTTAGAATATGGGTCATGACTCAAGACACCCTTGGCCAATTATTGTCAAATTTGCCACAGGGTATCCTTGGCACAAGGGCGCCCGTTTATACTAAAACAAGGGTTGTGACCCTTAAACAAGGGGAGATAATTAGGAAAATAAAAACAAAAATACTGGTTGCTAAAAAATCTTCTCAAAAACCACTGGGCAGATTATCACCAAACTTACACAAAAGGATGAGGATATGTTGAAGATTAAAAATTGTTCAAGGCAATACCCTGGGGCAAAGGGCGTGGCCTCAAGGTCACTTCAAAGTTGACCAAAAATAACATTTTATTAAAATAGCGATATTTTGCTTGCTATGAAAACTAAGATCATCAAATCTTGTCAGTTGATGCATCTAAGGACTTCATATCATGTTGACTCAAAAGTAGGTCACGGTGACCTACTCTTTTAAATTTTGCGGCCATTCTTTTTCAAAATGATTTAAAGGCATATTTTGAAGAATTTAAGGCCTATGATCATCAAACTTTGTCAGTTGATGTATCTTGGGACCTCGGAGTACGTCGACTAAAAAGTAGGTCGCATTGACCTACGTTTTAAATTTTATTTTATGGCTTATCTTTTTCAAAACAATTAAGGTCATTAATTCGAATACTGAGAGATTTAGAATCATTTAATGTTGTAAGATGATGCATCTTGGGGCCATAAAACTTTTTTTAAAAAAAAAGTAGGTCACCGTGACCTACTTTTTGAACTTCGATTTCAAAGCCTTTTAGAGGCAGAATTTTGACATTTTAAGGCCTATGGTCATAAAACTTAATAAGTTGATGCATCTTAAGTTATCAAAAAACGTCAACTAAAAAGTAGGTCACCGTGACCTACTTTTCAATTTATATGACTGTAATTAAATATGTCGGGTACTAATTGGCTAAGAATCATCAAACTTTGTCAGTTGATGCATTTTGGGTCTTCGGAGTAGGTCGACTGAAATGTAGGTCACCGTGACCTACTTTTGAAAATTTATGGCTTTAATTAAATATTTTGGGTACTAATTGGCTTAGAATCATCAAACTTTGTCAGTTGATACATCTTGGGTCATCGGAGTACAACAACTGAAAAGTAGGTCACATCGACCTACTTTTGAAAATTTATGGCTTTAATTAACTATTTCAGGCACTAATTTGCTTACAATCATCAAACTTTGTCAGTTGATGCATCTTGGGTTCCTCGGAGTAAAACAACTGAAAAGTAGGTCACCCTGACCTACTTTCGAAATTTTATTGCTTTATTTAATATTTTCATGTACTATTTGGCTTAGAATCATCAAATTTTGTCAGTTGATACATATTGGGTTCTCGGAGTAGGCCGACTGAAAAGTAGGTCACTGTGACCTACTTTTCAATTTATATGACTATAATTAAATATTTCGGGTACTAATTGGTTTAGAATCATCAAACTTTGTCAGTTGATATATCTTGGGTCCTTGGAGTAGGTCGACTGAAAAGTAGGTCACCGTGACCTACTTTTTCAATTTATTTGACTATAATTGAATATTTCGGTTACTAATTGGCTTAGAATCATCAAACTTTGTCAGTTGATGCATCTTTGGTCCGCAGAGAAATAGTCGACTGATATGGAGGTCACTGTGACCTCTTTTTGAAATTTTATGGCTTTATTTAAATATATCAGGTACTTATTGACTTAGAATCATCAAACTTTGTCAGTTGATGCATCTTGGGTCCTCATAGTATGTCATCTGAAAAGTAGGTCACTGTGACCTACTTTGAAATTTTATGGTTATAATTTTAAAAATATTTTAGGTATGAATTGGCTTAAAATCATCAAACTTAGTTGATGCATCTTGGGTCCTCAGAGAATGACAAGTGATAAGTAGGTCACCATGACCTACTCTTAATTGGCTTAGAATCCTCCTGGGTTCTCAAGAGTGTTTTATCTAAAATGTAGGTCATGATGACCTACGTTTGGAATTTCAAGGCTTTATCTAAATATGCAGGATACTAAGAGGCTTCAATATAAGTAATAGGTTGTACAGTTTATCAGAAGAGCGATTCGAGGCCCTTGGGTCTCTTGTATCATGCTTGAAGTCAAAATGTATCTCTGCATCTAAAGTTTTTAATTGTGCATGTCGTATTACTCCTGACATTCTAAGCCAAAGTATGAAACAAAACCTGTAAAAATTACGAGGCGTTTCATTTGCATGAAGTCTTTTAAACCATACCTTTGTTAATTAAAATGAAGAATGATTTAAAGAAAATGAGATTTAACTGCATCAATTTACATTATTTTATCGGATCCGGATAAAAAAAACTTACAGCAATCCGATGACCTCATAAAGGTATTGTTACACCCATAAATACAGGAACCATTAAATGCGTCACATTGTTGATCATGGCATCTCAGATTGCAAGGAGCACATGTTTGCCCGTAATGTTGCGAGGGACAACCTGAAATCAAAAGACACAAACGAAAGAACCATTGAACACCACGCTCACATGAGTAATACCGACCATTCTGATTTTTATCAGAAGTTCCTTAAAGACCTGTCTCCTATTTGTCTCCTATTTAGTCTCATCCTATCTGAAAATTGGACACAATATTCTGGCCCAACCATAACTCCAAGAGATCTTAACTTAACCAGCTTGCAGAAACTTGAATAGACACATACATGTAATGGGGATTCTACAATATCAATTTGTCAAATAGTGTCGTGTTCTTGAGAATATTTTTTTGATGCAGGATGTAAAACTTGATCCAAGATTTTAGCCCCACCTCAACCGAAAATACCATTATTTTAAAAAGGATCTGAATCCACATAAATTCGGAATGTTTTCATATTTATATAATTTAACGAGTTCTTTTTTTTTTTCAATTTCATGCGTATTCCCATACAACATGAATCCCTATCTGTGCTTCACACCATATTTCAACGTTTGAAACTGCACTACATGGTGTTGTTTAAATGTTAATAGAACTGATCATAGGGGTGTTCTTAAGAAAAAAAATACTTGTAAAAAGATGTTCCTTATAAATATTCTTGTAAAATTTTGATCCTTTATTAAGACCCCTCCATGTCCGAAAAGGGCCATGATTTGAACAAGTTTGAATCTACCCTACCTCAGATTGCTTGCATGGATTCTTATTTATCTAAGCTGATAATTTTAGGAAGAAGATATTTTACTAAATATTCTTTTTAAATCTTTGATTCTCTTTTGTGGCCACACCCTACTTCCGGAGTCAATTTTGAACCGTTTTTTTATATACATTTAGTTAAGGAAGATTAGTTTTTTTCAGATACTGTGGTTCTTAAGAAGGGGCATATAGAAAAAAAAAACATTATACCACAAAACTTTCACTATTTAAGTCATTCCCTATTATTTTTAGGAGATGTAATGTCCATTTATTTGAAGAAATAGTGTTTGCCTGTGTTCGTCGAAGCTTTGTGACAAGTTTGATTGAAAACTGGCCCAGTGGTTCTGGAGATAGTTGAAAATGTAAAGATTTACAAAGGGACCGAGTGAGGCTGTGGTTAAAGAGTTTGGTCTAGAGTCGCGGAGTAGGGAGATTACATCATGGGTTCGAAATCACACTGCGTAATGTGGAATCCTTCATATAAGACCGTATAATCCGAGTTCCCGCGTTTCACAGTAGGTGCTGGCACGAAAAAGATCTCTCACTGCTCAAAGGCCGTAGGTGCCGAGTACAGGTCTTAAGTTGCAGTCCTCCACCGGCAAGTGGTGGCATTTCAATATAAATGAAAAATTCATGAAGGGATGTTAAAGGAAAAAAACAAACAAAACATAGGAACTGACGTATAGTCAAAGGGACGCTAGATAAAGGCTGATAAACAGAATTAATTTAAGTTTTAAGCTAAAGGAAGATGTATCAATAATTGACTTTGATACTTCTTGAAGGAACATTTTTTCTTAATTTAGCTATTAAAACAGGATCTAAGTAGATAGAAGGTGACCGTTTTTCTTTATTGATTAGCAACAACTAGTTTTCATTAAAAATAAAAGAAATATTCAGTGAATGTAATTCATCATCATTCATGTGTTACGTATAATTTAAAAAGAAAATAAAAAAAATATATTTATCAATACATAAAAGCCTCATACCCATAACCAAAACTTCGCATATTTCAATGGTAGCAAATGTTGGTTCATATCCTGTGCAGTTCGTGTCTAGAGGAGGATCCTTTGAATTATACAAAGCTATTCCCTGGGTCAGTTTATTGACTTTTATTATCATCTCGTCCATAGGGCAGATAGAAGGGTCGTTAGTGTAGACCGTTTCTCCAGAACTGGACGGCGGGATAAAGGATGACTCATTGAACACAAATACAGAAAATCCTGTATGACGATTAACAGCTGGAATATAGATATTTTTGTCTCTTTCGTAAATACACATAAAAGATTTGGGAGAGTCTAAAGAAGTAGAAAATATTTTTTACGATGATAAAATTTAGATCTAGATATAAATGCACGTTTTTGCATTATTGATCATGTTCTGCGAACAATCTGAAACAGGCGACTACGTTTGCAAATACAACCTATCGTTGGCCTGAAAATTTACTGAGGTTTTTAGTGAAATATTATAGCCATTATTTTAATATCTTTGATTTTTTTTTATTTTTCGATCAATGCAAATGAGCTATGCACTTAATTCCACCTTTGGTGTGCCAATGTGTCCACGTCTGCTAAACTCCCTAGATAGTGGCACTTGATAATTGTTCCCTATTTTCACATTTATATTTCTTATAGAAATAATTAAAACTCTTACTTGAATTTCTAAAGAAGATTTTCAAATAAGCTACATTGGCCATGCGTTTCAACGGAAATTTCCACCAAGCCGTTTGAATAAGGGGATTAGCAAGAGTAATGCTACACGTGTCTTCACCGCGATCTTCCTGAAGATAACCATCAACTGCTTTGTCTGCTAAGTATAGGTCTGGATACCTATAAGATTCACTCTGTGTTGCTTGGCCTGAATAATCTGAGAGAAGACTGAGGTTTTCTACAAATGATTAACATATTGGTTGATGGTAAGTGTTACATATTCTGCATATCTTCTTTTCATTCATTAATTTGTCAGCAGGATTAAGATACCTTTGCAATTAAATTGTTCTGAATGTCAACCGACAGAGAAAAAAAGAGAAAAAATATGTTTTTGCTAGTACTATTTTGCTCCTAACTGAAAAAGAAAAATTACTATAAACGTATTACATTTGGCTATATATTTTATTCAGCCCCTTTCGTGAAAAGCTGCTTTCGCTTAATCAAGTGCATCGTTAACTGTCTCGAGTATACATATTCATACATGCAAAAAGTACATTCAGAAAGCGTTAAATCCAATTTACGTGTTGGAATGTCAATTTCCGACATTCATATATCGGACACGCCAAATATATTAACAGTATATAAAAGAGTCAAGTCGAAAAGTTCGAGATAGGGAACGATAAGGCCAAACAAAAAAATATGTGTGATTCCGGTTACACTTCCAAAAAAATTAGGGTAGGTAGGTAGGGAATTTTTTTTTTTTTTAACAAAATGATTTTCTTAATTTTTTCTTTAGAACCTATCACTGCTTTGCAAATGGCATTTAGATGTGGTGTGATAATATACTAGTCAATATTGGTAGGGGACACCTACATGCTAGTTTGCTTTGGATTTAACACTATTAAACTATGTTTTGCAAGGAGGCCATCATTGCTGAAACTAGAACTTAAAACTGGAGCCATTGATGGAAATCGGGGAAAATTCCGGAAAAAATATGAAAATTGCCAAAAAAAAAGTTTAGGGTCGGGGGTATAAAATAGGGAAGGTCGGGTAACCGGAACCACACATATTTTTTTATTTGGCCTAATCATAATGCTTAAGATTATTCAGTACTGGATCGTATGAAAATATTTCTGACATCATTAAAAAAAATTTCAGACATAAGGTATTCAATGTATAATGAAGGGATATTAAACTTGTTAAATATACAAAGCTAGATAACGATGAAAACGAAATGAATAAAATTCACATGACTGGTAACATATTAGAAGATGGCCATTTTGCACCCTCAACGTTTTTGAAGAGTTATCTGCCCTTGATGAAAAGAAGAAAATTTTAATTTTATCAAGATATCTGTGGTAAATGATTCATTTTATTTCATATATTAATAAAGAGAGAGTTTTTGCATATTTTCACCAAGAGATTTATATGAAGCCCAAATTACTTTTTACAATATTTTAATAACACATGTGCTGCCCATAGACTTCAATGTAAAATTCAAGGTGCAATTAATTGGACAATAATCAAAATTTTATAAATTCCTTTGATGGAGTATTTTTATTTGATAACACCTTCAAAATGCTACCATGATGAAAAAATCGGACCATTCGTTTATTAGGTATAAAATATGGTCGTTATACATTGAATACCTTAATTAAGGCAAGGTCAACTGATGTGCGAAGAACAAAGCCTACAAGCAGAGTACAGTGTACATGTATATCCTTTGACATTTCATTTTTGATCTTTCACTTATCAATTACAACAGAGAAGGTGTTGAAAATGTAATAGCGAGCGGCGCTTCACGCCGCTCGTCACTACGAGCTCTTAAAGCAACGCCTGGGCGAAGAGAAAATTCGGAGTTTCCAAAAGAATTTTTTCCGCAGTAACCTATGGTCCCATAACGCTTTGCGAATTGCATCTAACCGCAAACTACGTTCCGCGGTAGCAACAAAAAATAAAATCACATTGATTTTATGGATATTGCAGAAAAAAATAGTAGATTAAACATTCTTCACTAAAACTAGCACTGTTCAGGCTTCGATTTGGTAATGCAACTTACATACGACGTCATGTGACGTCAGAGTCAAGACTTACCAAATGTCACGTGCAATTTGAAGAGACAATGTAAATTATATAGGATCTGCGCTCGCCCCAACGGTCGCATCGTCAACATATTATTTTAGAAAGAAATTGGAAACTGTGAAAGGTATGCACGAGAAAGCTCACATACCTTATTTGAATCATTTCCTATTTTCATTAGAGTTTAAGAACAAAAAGATTACCTAAGCATTCTGTTAGAACAACGAAGAGCACTGCAAGATACACGGACTTGAGAAATTCATCCATCATCTTGTTAAATTGAACTTGTCCTTATATACACAGTAGATCTCGTTAAAATATGGGTTAAATGTAATAGAAAGATACATATAAACAAGGAAAACGATCTTATATCCGTACCAATTTTTTGTGATATAAACACACTCACACACACAAAACTAAAAATCTACACCGGAAGTAAAATCAAAGAAGCTTTGAAAAAAAACTCTTCCCGATTCTTTACTTGTTTGCTCGTTTGAAATGTTTTTAGTGTTCTACATACAAAAAGGAATGTTAACACGGTCATGAATTTGTAAAGAATGGAGACCAAGGGACTCATGACGATCTTTCACTTAGAGAAATGGTTCCTTGTATCTTATTATAATATATGAAAATTATATTACGTTTTTTTTTGTTTTGAAAATCTTGTTGACCTCTTGAGGAAAAAGATACACGTATCTTTTTACTACAATGGAAATTAAAATATTACACAATCGATTAAAATTTATTACGAGGATTGTAATAATAAACCCCTTAAACAATTTCCCTGTTTTGCGTATTTTCTAATAAATTTCATATTTATTGTAGTAGTGGGGAAAAGGCGTTTTTTAATTTGCAAGAAAGGAAATAAAAGTATATTTATACACTGTTTTACTAATACATTTCTTTTTCAAGTGTGGTCAATTTTTTAAACGTACTAATCATTAGAAAAATATATTCTTAGTGATGACTGACACAATAAACGCTAGAGTTAATCAGGCTTTTGGAAACTACTTTTCTAATGCTGTAAGATTCTACGTATACGATACACTGATAACCTTACATCGAAGAATACATGCTCAAAATTAAATAGTGATTTTTTTAAATAGATGACTTTCATTTTGAAAAGTAAAGGAATGTAAGAATTTTAAATTTCTTACACAGGCTTATTTCATGAATTTGTGAAATATTTAATTTAATAAATGACTGTCATGGATTTGAAAAATAGATGAATGTTTCAACTCATAAGTCATATTTTAAGAATCTAGTCAAGTGATAGTGTTATGAAAAATAAGTCTGCAATGGAAATTAAAGTAAATATCCGTCAAATATGTACTTGAAGATGAAAGAAAATACTCTGTACTTACATTTTGAAATATTTTTTTCAAATACATATCAACTGAAAATTTGTCAAACGATATATTTCCCAGCAAAGCTTGGATGAAAAAAATCATCTTTTTATCATGTCGTAAATGACGTCTTAGTTGTTTCTCTGTATATGTAGAGTAATGTTCGGGTGATTGTGATTTAAAAAATGAGAAACTCTGAAGGGAAATTTAAACACCTGCTTACTGATTGTACCACGTGAAATTAGATTAACTTTTAAATCATTACAACGAAATGTAAATTTTAGTTTTGTATGCTTGTTTTGAAATGAAAACAGATCGAATTTACTTTTTCGAAATTTTTTCGAAAGCGAAATAAAATGAAAAAGGCGAAGCTAAAAATAGTGATCGATCTCAAAAAAATATATAAATAAATAAATATAAATATATAAACAATACAAAACTGTGAACAGGACATGAAACAAGATCCCTAAGAAATTCCAGAGATGGGATTGGGTGCCTAGGAGAAGTGATATTCCCCTGCTGACCGGCCACATCCGTAATGAATCCTATGTATTGATCAGGTAAATGGAACATTTCGTCGTCAAAATTAGTATAAAAACAAAGGCTTTATAATTGGTATGAAACACTTCAACCAAAATAATCCCCGATGATAGGTTACATTTCTTAACAAGGTCATTATAACGAAGGTAGAATTTACGGAATGCTGACTTTTAAGGATGATGTTGAAATTTCTGTAACTAATCATTCAGTAGCCTACCTCGGTTTAAAAACTGAGAGCATGTTCTTGGTTATCGAATAAGTTTGGATAAGTATACACCATGTGCAGGTAATAGCGGAATGTTACTACATCAAAAAAGAAAAGTTGACGAGGGAAAAACTGAAGTCATCTCGTTCGTTTTAAAATTTATTTATTAGTTGGTCCTTATTGTGTAAAGTTAGTAAACATCCATATATTAAACAGATGTGGGAAAACTCTTGGTGCCATTATTTCAAGTTCCCTAAGACATATGAATGGAAGTACATCTGTCTAGTTTTAATTGATAAAACGTCATATATCTAAAGTAGAGTTGAAGGCCGAGCAATTTTTTCTTCTTCTCATGTAGAAGCTTTTAAATAAAGTCTTCTTTAAGGGAATATAAATGCAGGTCGGCAAATAAAGGTGCACAATTAGTACCCATTCAAATTCAAACAGTTTGTTGGAAGACCTGGTCTCCGAAGAATACGTAAATGTTGTGAATGAGGAACTCCAGTATCTTTTGAATATCAACTTTGGAGTACTTTTTGCGTAGAATCAGAGTAATTTTTAACAAAGTAATTTTATCGATGGCCAATCAGAATTTCCCAGTTCCAGTTTTATTGAAAAAACAGTTGTCTATAATATCAAAAAGCTTAGCTTTTGATTTATCGTGAGAAATGGTTGCAAAAAGTGTAGAAAACTCATACGTTTTGATATTATTAACTTTAGAAATAAAAAATGGTAATTTTAATTTTTCTTTCAGTTTTTTTTGGAGTTTTTGAGAATCCGCATCTGATTTACACCACTTCTAAAATATCCTGTAGCACAGTGCGTATGAACTTTTAGCTTTTTAGCAGTTAATAGTTCTATAAGGAGTAAATATAGGGGCTTGATAAAGCATTTACTGGACCTGGGAATGTATCCTTCAGTTGTTTGTAAGGATTTGTATAAAGTTAAGGAATCCAGAAAAGGTAGGATAGATCCAACTCACCTTGCTTGACTGGAATGATAAAAATATTAAACATTGAAATGTGATTTTGAAGAAAATAAACCTTAAAAAGTAAACTATAAGTATAG